TCTGGAAGGGTTAACATCTGATTATTAAAAAGAAAGCGCCAAACAAAAAAACCCCAAAACTCTCTGTAGATCTGCATTTCTGCAACCATCTTCCCCCACCCCCAAAAGTTGTAGTGAACAGTCTGTTAGGGTGGTTGTTACTGTGTCATAATATTGCATTATTTTATTTACAGCAGTCTTAAAAATAAGTTTAAGCTATTTGCATTGTAACTTGATAAATGTCAGCATGTTGTGGAAATATCCCATGATTGAGCTAAATGTAGACTGAATAAAAAGATTAAAGATCTCCACAGATCAGCTTGCTTGCTGGGAATTATTTTTGCCTTTCCTATTCTAAGTGTAAGCAGAATTATCCAATATCTCAGAAAGATTCTTATCTCTGGACATACCCTTGGAATCCTGTTTCCACAGCAACACAAAGCTACTGATTAAAAAAAAAAAATCCCTTCTAAACTTCAAATCAGTCTTTTATTTAGAGTTGTAATTAAGATGTTTAGCATTGTGTATTTTGTGTGTGTGTGCTGAGAGCAGTCTGTAAAACAGCCACGAGGCGAATAATCCTCCAAGTGTTGGAAGAACATCCCATGGAGGGGGAAGCCTGCAGGCAGCGTGGCAGAGGAGCAGGCAGTTGTTTTTCAGTGTGAAGGACCAGCCCTCTCTGTGGATGCAGGGACTGCCAGGAGCTGGCTCCTTTCCTGCCGGCAGCTGCAGCGTGCTCTCACTTGTTCCAGTTCTGCCCCAAATGAAGCATGCGAGGAATAGGAATGGGTGGAAGAACATGCAGCAGGCATTGTGGGCAGAAGGGGCTGAGCTCTGGCACTCGGCCACGCGTGCCCGGTGAAAGGTTCCCTCGCCTTGCGGAGTTCATGGCGGAGGGGCTCAGAGCTGCCTTCCTGGGCACTGCTCTTGGAAGCAGCCCCGCCCTGGCCTTCTGTTTAAAAAGAAAGTTGGTACCAGAGTAGGATAAAAACTGGCTTTAAAAGTTATAAAACTTTATAACTTGGTGCAGTTTCTTGGATTTTAAATGCTCATTTGTTTATTTTGTGTCTGATCATCAGCTGTGCCTGATGTTTTACTTGGTCAAAACTTATGTTATGTATTTACAAGTCTATAAGGTAGCTATTACAAGTTACTCAAAGTTGGGAATGATAAACTTTACTGCTTGGGCTTGTATTGATTTTCACACGATGTTGCTGAAATATCTAAATAACGGTGCTGTTGCAGGTTGTCACAGGTTAGTAACCACAGCTTGAAATAGGAATAATGTTGTGGCTACAACAGTTGGGCAGTTGCAAAATCTGTATTTAAATTTATCACATTACAGATAAATAGCACTCACTGCTGAATGGTTGCTTCAGCTTGCAAAGCTGCGCATGATTGGGGTGGAAATAAATCCTTCCTTCTCAATATTTGAAGTGTTGGTGACTGGATTCATCATAATGGGACAGTTCTGTGGGTGATGATCAGTACATGTGCGTAACTATTAGAAACTGAAAGCTATAAACTGGCACTCTAAGAGTTGTTAATATGGGAACTGTTATTCCCACTTCACAGATTTTTATCTTCTGTGGAAAAAAGTCAAGATAATATAAAGTTCCTGGCTTCAGAAGATGTCCCAGTTAACTGCTTTATTGCAAATGTAGCCAGTTGTTGTGAGGTTTACTAGAAGCTGACAGCCTAGACAAATAGGTTACACTGTGCACACTGTGACAGCACTGCCAGAATGCAAATAATCTAAATTTAGGATGCGCTGCGAGGCAGATGGGATGTGCTGTGGAGCTGATCCTGGTCGGACTGCAGGGGGAGCACGGGTGATCAAGAGTCGTAAAATGGGATCAGTAATTGCGGCTGCAGCTGGAACCCGCAAGGATGAGCCGGTGCATGGCCTGCAACGGGAATGCACCAGGGCCTGCATTTGCACCTTCAGAGTGGTTTTGTTTGCAAATACTGCAGTGCACACTATGAGCAGCATATTTCTTCAGCAGAGCTCTGGGGAGGAATGTGTAAATCTGCTGTTGGTGGCAGGCAGTGAATGGTTGGATGGAGGGAAAGCTTGGGAAACGGTTCGGTCTGCCTTACAAAGGACCCGGTTTTGTGAGTTTATGGTGTTTCCTGCATAGTCAATCAGTTATTTCAATAGGGCTTCATAGGCCAAATAGGGGTCTGGTTCAGTTCCACTAAAGCTCAGTCTAATGTGCAGCTTTTACACTTTTCTATAGCGCGTGTCAAATCGAGAAGGCATTTTTAAAGGGTCACAGAGTTTACTTAAAGCAATATGTGCTTTAAGGGCTGTGGCTGAGAATGTGAAATGATGTTAACGAGATAATACAGATTCTCAATGTGCCTGTATTATGCATGACATTTAAAATATTATGCACCAGCAAGTGTACCTGACTGCTTGCATGATTAGCTTCTTGCTCATAGAAGTTGAGATAATCCCTCGGATGTTTAATCAAGTTACAGAAAGGCTCATCTTTCAAGAAGTGTGACATCAGAAATAAATCTTGTGTCCCTTTTAATGTTTCAGCTGGACAATACTTCAGTTTTGCTCCCCTCAGCTGAGGCAGTAGAAGCTTAGCTGTGTTAGTGTGGGGAAATCTGATACAAACAGAAAGATGACTGTATGGGGAAGGTACCCTGGAGAGGAAGCTGATTGCATCATTATTCCAAATAGGCTGCTTTTTTCCTCAGTGAATCATGTGTGTTATAGCTGAACCATCAGAAAGCAAAATTAGCCATCCTTTTCTAAATAACAGCATAAACCTTTTGCTAAGAAAATGCTTCAAGGACTGTAGGTGAAACAGCTACAAGAGAGGAAATCTTGGTATATTTAATTGATGAATTCATGTTCATTTCTGTACAAGGAAAGATAACGCATTTTCTACCAATAAGCAACCTTTGCTTGAGAAGCAATAACTGATTTATCAAATATCGTAAGACACTGGGAGCTTTTTATTTAAGCACCATTAGTGGTAAATATTGCATTTTGCCTTTTTGTACTCTACATAGCTGCTGCTGTCCAGTCCTTTGAAAGGACATAAGATTCTGCATTGTGGCAGAAAAAATGCTCAGGTCAGTACAAAGGAGGAGGCAGGAGGTTTGTTTATAATGATGAAGTGGCCATAGGATTCTTTCATTTCTTTCCCAAATCCAGGTTATTCGTGCTTCAGAGTTATTTCTGGCTTTGTTTTCTGCTTGTGACTGACCTCAGTGGTCTATTGTAAACACCACAGGTGATGAGCTAAGAAATTACTGGAGCCCAAGTGCTCTTGGAGGCAATGCCAGGTTCCGCTTACTGCAGTCGGTTATTATCTATTTTAGGACTGAGGAACTGCTAATGTGTTATCTATACATATGCAGTAGCAACAGTTGTAATGAATACTTGCTCAGCATGTGGCATTTCAGAGCTCCCCATGGAGCATTTGAGTTCTGTGTTTCTAGATGCAAATAAATGGTGCTGTCGAGGGTTGGGGATGCAGGCAGGTCAAAGGGATTGTGTGAGAAAACCATGCAAAAATGATGTTGTTATATCTCCATGTGCTGTATGGAGATCTTACTGATAACCCTAATTGACTGAATTATATGTCCATTTTAATAATGAAAGAGAAATTTTAAACAGTTGTGCATTCAGTGGTGACAGTACCATCTAAAAAGCACCTTGTTGCACTATATCTCTGCTTAGTTGTAGAAGAGCCTTGATATGGCCAGACATTTGAATTCCTCTGAGGTCTCATTTTCTAATTGGATTTTTGTATTTATACTGCATTACCTGATCACCAAGTACCTGGACATGTCAGCAGAGTAAGGCAAATTAAAAGAGTATCAAAGAAAGTTCTGGGACTCAGTTATAGAAAATTGGTGGGATGTAAAGCCTCCTTGGCTAGTATGGTTATATTTTTTATATGAAATAGTTGAGGCTAATAGAAATGTATATAATGTAGGCTTGATTATTTTTAATTTCCTAATAATGCAGTAGTGAGCTTGAGTAGGGATAAGATTCATATAAACACATATAAATTCTAATCAATTAAATGACCATTTACTTCTAATACAGTAGAAGTTATGATAATGAGATGCTTTGTCATTCCTATGAACAAGACCATAGAAGACATACTAAAACTTGTTAGGATTCATAGTCCAGATTTTAGAAAATTAGGTATGTTTTACTGAGACTTTTAGTTAGATTCAGGCTGTGATATTCTTGATGAATGTGTAGTAGGCATGTTGATCAGAAATGCTATTTATTGAACCTGTTTATTGGTGTAGCTGGGAATGGAGTTCTGAGCTCCTGGAAAGAGTCGTGTAAATGCAGGAGGCAGTGAGCTCCTTACCATGGGTCACAGTCACTGTGAGACTCATTGTGCTGCTGCCTGCTTCCACTCCATGTGTGTACCTGGATACAGCTTTCTTTCCTCAAACTCTTGTTATTGCTGGAATCGATCTTGGAAAGATTTTGTCACAAATTCTTCCATCCATTTTGTTCTTTCGTGTCTGTTATGGAGGTGCTGACTCTGTAGATCAATGGAAGTGTGAGAGATTGTGATGACTGATATTACTTGTGGAAGCTAGACACAAGATGTGGAATTCTGCTGCTTAAAAGATGATTTCTGAAGGTTTTTCTGCGCCCCAAAGTGAATGGGTTAACTCAAGATGAACTTTCTTAAACTTCTGATGATTGCAGTGTATAGAAAAAAACCTCAGACTTGGTTGTTGCACAGGCTCATAAAGAGGAGAAATACTTTTTCCTTGTGCAGTACCACTGACTCCAAGTCAGCTGGGAAATCTAATGGTTGTAGAGACCCAAATAGGCCGGTGAAAGAACAACAGTGTTCTGTCAGTTCACCAAACTAAAAGACTTGTCACTGTCACCTCTCTCCATTTGATAAAAGTAAATGTAAACAAAATGCACCACCCCTATATTCAACTGAATTAACATTCTTTCTTTCTAAATTGAATGAATTTAATGCTCCTTGTAATCAATGTTACTGATTCTCTTCTAGTTCTGCTTATGATAACGTCAACAAAGTCCGAGTTGCTATAAAGAAAATCAGTCCTTTTGAGCATCAGACGTACTGCCAGAGAACTCTGAGAGAGATCAAGATCCTACTGCGCTTCAGGCATGAGAATATTATTGGAATAAATGACATTATCAGAGCTCCAACTATTGAACAGATGAAAGATGTGTATCCTTTCAAAGTGTTATTTGGCATCATTAGTAGCAGTTGCCTCCTCTCTTTTGATTGTTTCTTCCCCTTCATCCTCTTCCTTCCTAAATATTAATAAAAGTTGGCTTCTACTATTGTAAATCAAAAGGGAAGTTAATAGTATTTGATCAGTTTATAGATTTGGTGTAGATGAGCACTAGTTTTATTCTTTCTTTTCCAGGGAAAGAGAAAGATGTTAATTTCTGTCTTCCAAAGCGAAGATAACAACATTGGAGAGAAGATTTAGTTTATTCACATAATTCTAAAACTATATTTGCTCTTAGTAGAGCTTCTATTAGAACTGGTTGCTTTGAGGAGAAAGTAAAATGGCCAGACTCTATGATAACTGTCTCAAATTTTCTTGAATTAAGGAGAAGAAAATTTTACTTAACTCATTCCTGTCAAAGCAAAAAAAAAAAAAATCCCTCCTTTTAATTTCCATTGCAGTCTTACTAAAAGAAAATCATCTGAGTATATTGGGATTTAATTTTGGTAAGAGAAAGACTGTTGTATTCAATATAGCATAATAAATATATATAGTAGAGAAGAACAGCTGAATTTTTTAAGTCGGGAGATGGTAGAGAAAATAGATCAGAAATTATGAGATCTTCTACATTCCTGCTTTTATGCAACTGCAAACAAGTATCTTGGGAGCTTATTACTCATTAACCAAAAAACTACCCTTTGTTTCTTGGCAAGCAGGATAAGAATCAGATGAAATTAGGATTCCAATAAAAGTCAAGCTCTACTGTAAAGAAATAGAGGTTTATGATGATTAATTTGAGAGATGGTGTTATTCTATAAAGGGCTGCATCATGTAACAGGATTGATTGGATTCCAGCTTCTAAAGCAAGAATCAACTACACGGTTTCATAATTGTCATCAAACAGAAAAATAAGAGAGAAAAAAAATGTTCTAGAAGTTTCCTTGGGTACTGTATGTTGATATCTGACATAAGTTTTTTGCTGCCTTACATCTAATGCCTCACAGATATATTGTGCAAGATCTTATGGAGACAGATCTTTACAAGCTCTTAAAGACTCAACACCTCAGCAACGACCACATTTGTTATTTCCTTTACCAGATTCTGAGAGGGTTAAAATATATCCATTCAGCCAATGTGCTTCACCGTGACCTCAAACCTTCCAATTTGCTGCTTAACACCACATGTGATCTCAAGGTGAGTTGAAATTTCTTTCAGATTTGCCTGCCATCGTCTTCATAAATGAACTGCTATAACCGTGAGTGTGGGGGTTTTACTGGGTATTAATGTGCTTTTTGTCCTGGAAAGATTGCCAAAACATTATTTGGTTTGATAAAATAATTATCAAGATTTGAGCGACTAAGAATCTGTTAGGCTGCTGTAATGAGTGCATCACTGTTTCCATCTGGAGGCTGACTTGGAAACAGCCTCTTTGAAAGCTGGGTGAAAATACTGATCTGAAGCAGCATCATGTTTACCTTAAAAGTAAACTCGGAACTGTGTATGTTTCAAGATTTGGTTTCTTTGTTTACACTGTTAATGTTTTGTTGTTGGAAAAGGATTTTGTATTAGTGGGCATCTAAAGTGGCACGTGAGATTCAGTGCTGATTAAATGTACAGCAATTACTTAGGGAGAGAATGTTCCTAATTTGCATTTCCAGTGATGGGCTCTGTACTTGTTAATACTACAGAAGGATGAGCTTAGAGCTGTTATGATTCTTGGAAAATGTCAGCTCAATGCCTAGTGGCATTTAGTAAAGCAAACCGAGTGTGAAGGATTAGAACAGAAATAGAGAATAAAACAGAAAACATGCCATTCTGTACCTTTCAGTTCGATTTGAGTCTTCAGTGTGATCATAGTTATCACACTTCTTGTGATATGAGGAGAGCAGGATTTCAAAGTACCGCTCTCCATATCACAAAGAGCTGTTCAGCCTGAGTCTCCTCTGCTGGAAGATACTGCAGGAGGAACAGAGGAATCCAATAGAATTTGGTAACATTGCTAACATTGTCAGTGGCATAGGGACAGTGAATAGGGAGCAGTTGTGTTAACTGTCCTTACTTATGGAAAAGGCTGGGGGGGAGGAAAGAAGCAGGTGAAGATTACTTGAAGCACTGTTAAGCTGTGGAATTTGGTATCACAGAGAACTGGAGATACTGCAGTTTTTAAGAAACCACCAAGCAAGTTAGCAGAAATAAACCGTTATTGAGTGCTCCCTGTGGTTTAGAATCCCACAGTGGCAGATCCACAGAAGATAAGAGGCATTGGAATATGTTCCCTTTTACACTGTACATCATGCATTTGCTGCTGGCCACTGATGGAGTGGAGTTGCAGAGGTTACAATGCTTGATCTGAAGTGGTACAACTGTGTTTGTTGAATACTGTGTTGCTCCTAATTACCCTTTGTTTTTTAGTGTAGCTCGAACTTTCTCAATAAACAAACCACAAAACAAAAATACCCTCTTCAAAGTGTGAACCGATTGTGGACTGTACAGGTTTGTCACAATTCAAGGAGTGTCACACAATTCCTTCTGTTTGTATGCTGGTCCATTCTAAAGACTGACTACATGATCAACTCTGTCTACATTATGGAAACTCACAATTATTAAAATGACCAAGAATTGTTACCTACTGCAACAGGTGTGCAAAGAGGGTGATGAGGGAGGGATTTTTTTTAAGGAGAGCTGCAAGTTAGTGCTTGTTTCAGGATTTTACCAATTACTCTGGAGATGCAACTGTTTGAACCACCATCTTATCAGTAACAATTAAACTTAATATCTCTGTTTTCTTTTATACAAATACACAGAGGCACAGCCTACTCAGCAATACAACTGCAGATATTTCAGTATATTAGTAGTACTGTTGGTGTCATTTCATTTGCTTAGTAAATGGTCGTATGTACATGATCCTCCTAAATCTTCCCATCTGCTTGATAGCTTCATCCAATTTTAAGCCATCTCTGTTTAAAAAACCCCTGATACTGATTGTAAGAACATTGTTTTCACGAAGTGGAAGCTGAATATATAAACAGCATGCTGTAATTATTTGTTTGTTTGTTTATTTAATATTTAAAAATTTATTTAGCTGCAAAGTAATTTTATCTGTCTCAGAGGTATCAGTTCTGTCTCTCCAAGGCATGAAGCACTGACTGACATACCTGAATCTTTCATTATGCAGATTTTTATTCTTTGCTATGACTTAGTCAAAATGACAAGAAAATGTGTCCATTATTGTATTGCTCTCCAATTATTTCTTTTATTTTTGTTATTGTCTTTATTCACATGGAGAAGCCTAAAAACCAGCTCCTCGTGCTTTGCCTGCTCCCCATCATTTGCATGGGTGCAGTGGCCCCGCAGCCCCTGCAGCAGGGCAGCTGCTTTCACTCAGTGTGTCCTGTTGGCACAGGCTGAGAAGTGTCTGCCCTCCCCAGCTACAGCCAGGGCTGTGCCCATCCTCACCCGGGGCTGCAGGCAGAGCGCTGGATCTCCAGCATCCCTTTCACTCTGTGCTATCACTCCTGTCAGCTCTGCAGCCAAAACCTTTTCCTTGCAGCTTCAAAAGTCCTTCTCACTAATGGTGTTTCTGCTTTTCTGCTTAACCTGTTTCTGCTCCAGTCAGCAGGGGCTTTTTGTCATTTTAATGAGCTCTCTTTGTCATTATTCTTCCTTTCTGTCCCATGAGCATTTTTCTACTTGAGTTGAGAGATTCAGAGACATCTTCCGTAATTCAGTTCTTGCCTTTCACTGTGGACCAGAGTGTCTTTCTTCTTTTGTTTTAAGAGTAACAAACCATAGTGCTTTGTTTTGTGAAATACTGAAATTCTGCACAAAGTCTCCTTGCCTGTAATCTTATCTAGCTTTTTCTGAGGTTAGGAGGAAGAGATTACAACAATTTTGCCTGCTGCATAATTATTTTCTGAAGTCTTTAAGCTGTTCTCTACAGTTTCTTGCTTTCTGTCTTTATAAGAGGCTCTTCTGATTTGTACTCAGTCTTCATGTAAGCTGCTAATTGCACACAAGGCAGCTGCTCTGTTCTTGTAGCCTGGGAGAACCTTGCCATGCTTAAAAAAGTTGTTTTCTAAGGATTCAGGGAGCTGGGTTTATTTTTTTAATATGTAGCTTTAAGTGATGGCAGGCAGCTTGGCTTATGACATTGATCATTACATTTTCTTCAGACCCTCTGTAACAGTCAGCTGCTGAATCTTGTCTTTCAGATGTAGCTTTTAGTCAGCTGAAGTATTTCTTCCTTAACTGATCTATCAGTTATTTCTCTGACAGCCTATCCCTACAGGAAAATGAAGAAATATCTGCCAGGGCAAAGTGAGGTTTCTGTGGTTTTGGTAGGATTTTCCATTACTGACTTTATTGACTACAGCCTATTTTCACTTCACGTTTTCAATATAATCACTGTACACAATTAACTAAGAGTAAATACTATAAAACAAATGTAGCAGAGGAACCTCCCACTGTTTGCCACTCCTACATTTGATACTTGGTTTTCCTGAGAGTATGAATTCTTTCATGGAAGTACATTTTGTGTGGCAATCATAACCTGGTATACTTGGGGGGGCAGCAGAAGCTTGTGAATGTGTCTAATGTGCCAGCATTAGGCAACCTTGCCATTGACCTTTGGGATGGTAAGAAAGGAACAGCTGCTCTCTCTACAACAGTCTTTCTTCACATTTTCAACTTTTTAAATTTTTCTCTAGACACTAAATAGCTCTGAAAACAATGGAGCCTCCTTACCAGAGCATAACTAAAACAACCTTTTTTCTTTTTGCTGAACTCTCTAGTCTAAATCAGTGTTCGGTTTTGTTTTCATAGTTAGAAAAAGCTGTCTTCCTGATAAGGGGTTGAGAAATACTTTCTTGCTTGTGTTTTGTTTTGTTTTGGTTTTTTGTTTGTTTGTTTTTGTTTGTTTGTTTTTGTTTTTTGTTGTTGTTGGTGGTGGTGGTGGTTTTTTTTTAGGCTTACGCTTCTTTCAACAGCCCATAATCTCTCCAATCCACCATTATCTCATGATTGGATAGGTTGTTTCTCATGCAAAGATGCAGTTATGATCATAGCTTTTATAAAATAGGGTGTTGAACTTGGTTACAAATGTGTTGGTTGCTAATTATGTTTTCTAGAAATCTTTATTGCTTTTCTTTTTGTTTTCTGGTGAGTTTCTGAGAGGTTGGAGTAATGTATCTTTGTTTGGCAGAGATGCTATAAGGAAGCCCATAGTGGAACATAAATTTTGAACTGGCCCCTGAATGGCAGTTGACTATTCTTCGTAATTGATCCAAAACATTTTTCTTCACTTTTGTGCAATAATTTGTTTCTAAAACCATAGGTTGCCATCACTGCTTTTGTGGATGTTACATCATTGATTGGGGAATGGTGAATTAGTAATGTTATAATATTGGGAATGTGTGTCTAATGTGCCACTTTTTTCTATTTACTTCTCTAAAACCAGATTTGTGACTTTGGATTGGCTCGCGTTGCAGATCCCGATCATGATCACACAGGATTCCTGACAGAGTATGTGGCCACACGTTGGTACAGGGCTCCTGAAATCATGCTGAATTCTAAGGTAGGGGCAACAGTGAGCTTCTGGGGTGCTGCTGTTGCTGCTTATTCCCTTCCAACTATTCTTCCCCCTTCTATGTTTTTAGGATCAGAATGCACGCACAGTTTTGGGGAGGAGTGGGCATGGGTTTCCAGTAGAGCTATTGGCTTGCAATAATTGTGATTCCAGAATCAGTTATTGGGTACTAGAACTGAGTAATCACGTGCTTGACTTCCCACACCTCCAGTTTCTTGCCAGTCATGAGACTGCTTCCATCACCTGCTGTGCCACTGAGCAGGACAGGAGCGGTAGGAATGAGCATTCCACTGCTGCCTCCATCAAGGCTACAAATGTTGCCATGATGTTATCTTGACATCTTAATTTAGGTTTAGAATGTATAATGAGGGTGAATCTGATTCTGAATGAAGGCATGTGATCCTTCTTATGTGTCAGTCTTAATTGCATTTCCATAGTCTTCATGAAATCATTCCTTTAGTTTTTATATATTTGGAATTACTGTTGTGTTCTGTGGCTGTTTTAAGGTGTATCCAATCCCTGTGTGGATGGTGGGTGTTCTTCAGAACCTCTGTGTTCACTCCCACAGCCAGACACTTGTTAGCAAAAACCTGGGTGACACCTGGAGCTGTATTTTATATTCTGGGATGGTTGTTGTTCCTGTAGGATTTACAGCTTTTCCAGTTGGTGGGTTTGTTTTGTTGTGGCAGTAGCATGTCCAAGGCACTTTAAGAAAATAGACATCTGACCAATTGAGGGTTTTTTCCCCAGCTGCTTGTATTTTGAACTTGCATCTTGTATTTTAAACCCTCAGTGAGGCCACAGCATTGGGCTATCCACGTCTACTTATCAAAGGCTTTCACAAAGAAAATATGTTGTGTTTGTAAGAGGTGGTCACCTTAAAAGTTCCTGGCTTAATGTGTGATTTCTTTTATAATTCTGGCGCCTTGAACACAAGTGGTGAAGGGATGACATCCTGAGGAGCTGGTGTCCGGTGGCTGTGGGGACAGAGCCTTCCCAAGGGAGGGGCAGTGGCAGCAGGGGACACGGTGGGGCTCTGTCACTGCTGGGTGTCACTGCTGCGCCTTTTCCTGTGGGTGGCACAGGTTATCTATACCCATGGATGTCCCATTGTTCCATTCCCACTGTATCTCAGTGACTGGTGTGGCCTTCTCCCAGCATCTTCACCTCTTCCTGCCTGTCGTGTTGTACAGAGCAGCCAACCAACAGCCATTGATTTTGCCATTTCCCTCTTTGCCAAAGGGCCTGTCCTGGAATGCTGCTTAGATCCCCTCAGGAAGGACAGCTGCTTTCACACGTATTCAGCACTCTGTTTAGGGGCTGTGCAATTCAGAATACCTGGTTTCCAAAATATTTTAGTTTAAATTTGTTATAAAATTAGGGAATCTCAACGATTTGCAATTGGTAACAGATTTAGCTAAACTTAAAGAATCCTTTTGGAAAACTGTATCTTGGAGACTTCAGTTTTTGCTACCCCTTCAAGGTAGTGTTTTGATATATGGCTCTTAATTATTTCATTTGTACAGAAAAAACAAACAGCATGAGCAAGCATGACTCATCTGAAAAAGAAAAAGATGATTTGTGTGCACTTTCAGTTTGCTCAAGTAACATGTTGCTGCTATTATGCAAAAATTTGACAAAAATGACTTTCTGCTTCACTTGCAGGGTTACACCAAGTCTATTGACATCTGGTCAGTGGGCTGCATTCTGGCAGAGATGCTCTCCAACAGACCCATCTTCCCGGGAAAACACTACCTTGACCAACTTAACCATATCCTTGGTAAGCTTTATGGAGCATTTCCACATCATCTGTCCCTCTCCATCATTTCTGCGAGCTGGGCTGGTCTTTCTCCAGTGGGTCACTGTGGAAGGTGTGGATCTGCAGGTGTGGCCACTGTCCCCTCTAGTTATTTTTGCAGCAATTGCTACAGGTAATCATTGCTTTGGGGACAGCTAAAGAATACTTACCAATTTATTTACTACATCAGAGATATATTTTTAAAACAAAATTTAAAAAAAGAAAAAATTTAGAATCTCATGTATTATTAGGTCCAGGTGAAATTCTTTAAAATGTCTATAGGTACATCACTTACTGGGATCTTTTAAAGAGATTAGAGATCATTAGAAAATCAGACCCATTTATTTATTTTAAGAATGTTTTTTAGTAAAAGTTTCTAAAACTCCTCAGGTATTCTGTAGCCTTAAAACATTTGATCTGAAATCTCCTTCCCAGAAATTTTAATCCTGAGTTCTAGCAGATATGATACAGCTGTATTAATGTGCTTTTCATAGAATGCACTGTTGTTTGTATTTGTATTTTTTAGGTATACTTGGATCCCCTTCCCAAGAAGATTTGAATTGTATAATAAATTTAAAGGCCAGAAACTACTTGCTTTCTCTACCACACAAAAATAAGGTACCATGGAACAGGCTGTTTCCAAACGCTGACCCCAAAGGTATTTTATACTCTGTTAAATTGTGTCAAAGTAATGGCAGGATGGGAACTTTTATAACCTAAGAATTTGTCTTTATATTGGAAATAGAACATGCAGATGCCTTAAAATAGCACTGTAAATCTAATATAAAATCATAAACCAGCATAAAGCCCTCACACTAATTTATCTTTTTAATGCAATTTTTAGTAACTTTAAGATTACCTGTTGTAGAGTTTGGTCTTTAACTTATATGTGAAATCCAAACTCTTGTCACTGTCCTTGGAAGCATAGTACATTTTTCAAGTGCTGAACATCACTACTGGATTTTGGCACCGACATCAACAATGCCTAACATCAGATAGGAGGCAGCTGCTTGCTGCTGCCCTGGGTAGAGTTTGTGCAGACTGCATCAGTTGTAGGTCAAACAGGGTCTCGTCAGTGAGTGGGATCCTTAGGTACCATCAGAGCTTAGAATTTAATGGGTTAAAAAATTCAACTAGGACATGTGGAGCAAAAGTTATGAAAGCAAGGAATACAATAATTGTTAACTTTTCTTAATAAGGCTTTAATAAAGGGTAAATATGATTTTGTTTTGCTAGATAGCTATTAATTTACCTTTTATACTCAGCTTCATACAGTTTAAGGGTGGTTGTATTCACAGTACAGCGCTCTTTTACCTGCTCTAGCACAATTCATAAGTTACTTTTTTAACTGACATGATAATTTACTCTTAGTGGATATGATCAGGTACTGAATTACCATGTTAAAGCTGAATTCTGCAGATGGAACCGTATGGAGCTGATTATCCCTGTCATTGAGGAAAACAGCAGTGATTTATTCTGCTTTTATAACAGTGCTCATCAGTGTGAGAATCCTCCCCGTGGGCTTTGACAGCTCACTGGCAGCAGTGCTGGTACCTCAGCAGAGGGGGAATGTGCCGTTTGGTGCGGCACCTTGGCAGTGACACCCTGAGAGCAGCTGTGCCAGGGCAGCTTTCGGGAGCTGGCTGTCACTCAGGGCAAGAACAGCGCTGTGCCCGCCGCGCTCAGGCTGGGGGTGAGCTCGGGAGTTGCCAGCGCTGAGGGAGCAAAACACTGAGTGATGGTTTCAGTGCAGCTCTGAGGTTTTTGGAGCTGCCCTCAAATGCACTTGGGTCTCTTGTGCAGTGCTGGGTGCTGCACAGACCCAGAGGAGCTCACTGCAGTGGTGGGTTGATGGTGATGGTGCATCCTCCCTCCCCAGGCTGCGATGTGACCTGAGGTCACAAGTGTGCTCCTCATCCTGCTGCAAAGCTGCAACTGCTGCACTACATCAAGAAGCCTCTGTTAAACATCTGGTTCATAAATGATGGGGTGAGGAGAAGAAATGTGATGAGATTTAGGATACTGCAGATATCTTAGGGCTTCTTGCTCCTGTAATCAGTTTTTTTCTTTTCTTGGAAAAGGGAAATGTGTTACAGGCAAAGTAGCTGATCAGCTGCAGTAGCACTGATTTGTGATGTCTGTCCAGAATTTCACCAGACCTCACTCTCTGTCTTACTGGATCTTCAGGTTCTTTATGGATTCTTTATGAGTTCTCTTCAACAGATTTTCCCTGAATCTCATGAATATAAATGTATTTGCATCTTCTCTGGAGAGTATCTTCTGTGCTGCTGGTTGTGCCAGAATATTTCACTGCGGTGATCTAGAACTCCTAATGACTTCTGGATGATACTTTCTTCTGTAAACAGCCAAGTTTTCTTTTCAGAATAAGAACGTATTCATAATTACTTATTTCAGAAAAGCTCCATCTTAGTTTGGGTTTTGGCACAAAAATCCAAAGCAATTTTCTGAGAGAAGAAAAAAAGTCTCATCTATTTAATTTCTGTTGTAGTCCAAACCAGATTGTACCGTAGGATTCCGTGTGTTTCTTGCCTTGCCATCCGTTCTGGGGCTGAAGGGCCTTTGGCAGGGTACCGCCTCCAGTGGAGCAGGTGGTGCCCAGGAATGCCAAGAGGGGCAGGCACAGCCTCTGTGCCAGGTCCCAGCTACAGAAGGAGAGCTCCAGGGGTGCACTGCCATTAGCACAGACCTTGGGTAGTTGGCTTGTCTGGGTGAGGTCAGGCTTTGTAACACTTTCGTGGAGTGTGTATTAAATTCTTGCTCACTTTTTTTCCTCTTAGCACTTGATTTGTTGGATAAAATGTTGACCTTTAATCCTCATAAGCGGATTGAAGTGGAGCAAGCTTTAGCCCATCCATATCTGGAGCAGTATTATGATCCAAGTGATGAGGTAAAGATGTTGTTAAAATGTAAACATTGATAAAATGATACAGCTGATTATTTTCTACTTTAGTTTAAGGGTAGTGTTTCTAGTGTACTAATGGAGTTGAAGAACAAATTGCATCAATTTACCAAAATGTGTATTTCTCACTTTAGTGCAACACTTAGGAGATGCCACACAATAAATAGATATTAAGGTGCCCTCCCTCTCCAGAAAATGGAGATTCTCAGCTCATGTGAGGCCTGGTTTCATAATGTCTGAGGTAAAGGAGGAGAATGACTGTGTTTGCCATCAGATTAAAAATCCGGAATCAGAACTGGCTATAGTTCAGGTAAAATTCTGAGGAGATTCCTGGCTCCTTTTTGTAAAGAAATAGGGGAGGAGGAAATAAGCTAGTTTTCCTTAAGGGCCAGATATGTTTATTCCAAGAAATAAAAATGTTTAAGATAACTTTTTTTCCTTCACATAGATTTGAGCCTCAAATAAATATTTCAACTTGTGGTTTGGATTTGCCTAGCCACTTACTGTGGTTGATATAAAATTTGGTAAACTAATACATAAAGCTCACATAGGACTAATAGGGGGAGTTCTGCCTTGAAGACTGCTCAGCGTTGGATATTTTTGTGAAAGACATTTTCAGATTTTTTTCCCCATCCATAAAAGGACTGCATGAAATTCAACAGCACAGTAACATTAAAGTAATCATATTTCTTTGTATCATTAAGCCTGTAGCTGAAGCACCCTTCAAGTTTGATATGGAGTTGGATGACTTGCCGAAGGAAAAGCTGAAAGAATTGATTTTTGAGGAAACTGCAAGATTCCAGCCAGGATACCGATCTTAAATCGTGCATAGGTAAAGTCACAGCAATAGGGGACACTCAGGCAAGGGGCACATTTGGGACTTGGGTGCTGCTGGTGAAATGTAGGACTTGCCTTTCCGAGTGCCCAGTAATTTCCTGTCCAAGGACTTGACCTCAGTCCTGTCCTGTTTCTGAGGAGTTTCTGTTTGCCCACAGCATTGAAGTGTCCACATGGAACCCAGGCACCTGTCCGAGGTGCTTACCTTGTTTGTAGTTTGCATTTAGGGAATAAGAATTGCATTTCAATAGTGCTGCTTAGAATAAAAGCAATGGTAACACTTTGAAATGCAAATTTTATTGAAAAAAACATTTTAAGGGGCAATGTTCTTCATATATTACAGATACATAATTTTATCATATGGCTTCAAACGCATTTAGAAAAAACTCCTCCTAAATGTAATGTACAAAGGAGAAATCTCTTAAACTATTTCAAAGGAAAAAACCCTTTTTTTCACCTGAAACTTTAGTATGACCTATCTTTAGTTTTAAGTAGCTCCCAAATAGTGTAAGTAAATAAGAATAAGTATTTAACTAGTCATAAATTAATTATAACTAATCTTCCTAGCATTTTGATGGTCTGAAAGTTTAATTTAAAATGAAATATACTGATATTCACTGACTCTGACTTCTTTTTTTTTTAAATCTATTAACTTAATTGGTCTTCTTGTACCACAAGGCTTACAAGTCTCAGGAGTTTCATACCAAATTGGCCAAACACTGATTTGATTGGAGTACCTGTGAAACTTCTGTGATACTAATAGGGGAAAATATCAAAGTTTTATGAGTGGAAAGGAAAAACAAGCCAAAGGCAACAGGCTGCCCTAGGCTGCCTGGTTTGTGCTCTCTGCTCTCGTCCCTCAGAGCAGCATTCTGCAGTCACTGCTTTGTGTGGGCAGTTCCAGCGGGAAGGTGAAATTTTGACCCAGGGCACTTCCTTGCTGTCAGAAATCAACGGCTCTGCTGGCAGTATGCAAGAGCTTTGTGGCTTTGCTATAAACAATAATTTTTCTGCACTAAAAAATGTGATTTCAGTTTCTGCATTGCATATACCCCCAGGTTTTCATTTAATGATGAATTAATAGGAAAGAAAAAGAAAAAAAAGTGGGGGAAATGTAAAAATACAGTTTTTACTTTAATAGGATAACTGCTGTTGCCACTGGCTTGAATATTTAGGTGTATAGAACCTCACAAATTAACAAATTTCAATTTTTTCAAATACTGCATTTTGTTTATTTAAACTTGCTAGGTGATATTGGAACTGTTGTAGTAATTAAAAGGTAGGGAAATCTGAGGTTCACACACTGGTTCTATAAGTTTGCATTGTTAGTAGATCAGACCTGGGACACAGTAACTGGCTGGTGTTAATGTCCTACCCATGTTTTCTGTGTGAGAGCACAGCTGTGACTGTACACATGGTGGAAGAAAGTTACATAAATTTTTAGGAGCAAGATGAAGCCTGGTCCTAACAGGCTGTAATCTCAAGGAAGGGCAGCAAGTGGTTACTGCTGTGGTAAATCATAGTTCGTGATCTCTTGCTTCCCTCTTTGCCCAGGCCATACTTACCTAGGTTGTGTTAGGGATTAAGGGATAAAAAGATTAGGGATAAAGATATCAGTGATCCATTGCTAGCAGAAATTTCTGGTTTGATAAAAATGCTACTATGCAGAGTTGATTTGGCCAGCACAATATTGAAATTGAAATATTGTACTTAGCTTGACAAGGATATGCTGGCAATTTGTCCAAGTCATTTGTGGTTAGGATTGCCAGCTATGCCACAGCACAGCAGTTTAAACATAGCTGCTTCACATCCTAGTGAGGGCCAGTCCCCAGGAGCTGGCTTCAAATGCACAGTAATGCGTCCTGCTGTGCATTCCTGTTCCCCTGCACACTCCCCCCTGTGCTTTACCAGCCAGCTTTTCTCACTGGGCTGTTTCTCCAGATTCAAAGTGTCCCCTGCGCTGTGGGTTTTGGAATTGAGAAGCAACATGAAAATAACAGATTTTTGGGTTCAGACAAACAATGTACTTCATTGACTAGTTATGTTTAATCTTCCTAATACTTTATATTTTAATTTCAATTAATATTTAATTTTAATTTAAGAATTACTAGTTTAAAATTTCTCCAGATTCTTTTTTAACATCTGTAGATCCTGCTGGCTGTGGCTCATGGTAAACACGGTGTGCACAGAAATAGGAAAGGGCTTGTTTTAAAAGATGGTGTTAAACTTCCTTCACTGAAATATATCTCTGCTCTCTTTTGTAGGACAAGGACTTAAAGGACTGGGCATGCTCAAACGTTGCTGTTCCTCTTCCCAGTTCTTTATTGTTGGTCATGTCTTGTGGCCTCTCTCAGCTTATCCACTAACTCCTTTGAGCCATTCAGGAGGGCAGTTCCTGGTAGTTTTGGCTTTTCATGCTTTCGATGAATCTTTTAAGCCTGAAGAATTGTAATTGACACTCCTATGCGTAATGCCCATTGTTGACCTGTTGCAGTACTGTACTGTACGTGCACCTACTGCTGCCCGTGTTTTAACTGCTTGCTTTCTGGTTTGAAAGATGCAGTGGTTCCTTTCACTCCTGGATCAATATCCAAGAAGAGAGTTCATTAACTTGTAAGACGTTTACACCATGAACTATGTTTTTTCTGACTTTACTGAAGTCGCTGGCATTTTTTTTTTAGAAAAGCTACTATTCAGGGCACTTTAAGTCAGTGACATCCCAGATTTTTTTTGCACGTCCTTTTTAAATAGAAATGGTTGGTTAGCATCCAGCAGAGTGTACCATTATGCTATGGATTGCAGCATAAGTTGTGTTCATGTTAATCTTGCTTATGCACTTGTTTGGGTGTCCTGTGCTGTACATACAGGTATTCTATCCAGTGTAAGAGCCACATAGGAGCCCAACTTAACTGAACTCATCTAAGAAACATTTTTCCATGTATTGACAAAATTTGTACTTTTTTTCTCCCTGCTTTTTCTAAGAGAGATCATTTAAAGTTTACCCACGTTGGAGGCATAGTACTCCCAAAGTTCCTACCATGCAGTAGTGTCTGTACGGCCTGTGCAAAGGCGAGGTGGCAGCTGCAGCTGCTGTTTGCTCCCTGAGTGCTGGAAGGGTTAACACAGACCACGATGGCACCATGACCCCATGGCCAGTGCTTTTCCTGGGCAAGGCAGCCGTACCTGGTGGCAAGCAAGAAACCAAAATATGATGTTAATTAACTCAGTCTGCATCCTGCATACCAATGAAATGCTTCAAATGAGGATTGATAGTTTTGACATTTGAATCTAATCACTGACATTCAGATTCTTGCAGAGAGGAACACTGCATCTTCAAATGAGAAAGTTTGATTTCACTTTTGCTCCTACAGCATGTCAGCATCTCAAGTTCATTTCTTGCAACCTACACTATGGTGATTTGTAATCAAGCCTCCATGAGCTCGTGACATGAAGTACTGTTCTGTTGTCAAGTACTATCAAACTTTTCTGATAATGCTGAGTTAGGACAACCAAACAAAGCTAGCACTAAATAACATTTAAAATTGTATACCTTTTAATGATCTTTTCAAGTATTTGTTACTGAAATTGTATAATGTGGAGTTTACTAGGTGTTATGTTCCAGTGCAGTGCCTCCTTTTCTTTCCCCACTGCTCTCTGTGGTGAGAAATTTGCCTTGTTTAAAATAATTACTGTGCCCTCGCATGACTGTTAAAGCTTTCTGTGCAAAGATGATTGTCTAAGTGCCACATGCCTATGATTGAGAAAAAAAAATAATCTATTGTTACCTCTGAGTTGTGTTCAACTGAAATGCTATTCAACAAATAACTTAGGAAAAATAGTTCTATTTTTAGCTTTTCATATCTCTGCTGTCTTTTTCTCATTTTATTTTGGCAGCAGTGAAGAATGGATTGTATAAAGACTGCTTGCTAATATGAACAAAATGCACTTGTAATTCCTGGAAATAAATTTAAATCTTATATCTTCACATTAACATTAAGAATTAGTTTTTGGTTTCCTCTTGGGTAATGTCTATGAATGGAAATCAGGTTCAGTTGCTACTGTAGTACATAAGGATGCTGGCTGGTTAATAACTCCAGGCTTCCTCATACCACTTAGTCTGCTCTTCAGAGAAATCTAGAAAGCCATTAACTTAGACTCCAGTAGATAAGGGTGCTTACAAGATTCCATTTCAAAATTTTCTTTTTCCTATAGTTTAAGTGTTAGTCTGCCAGAATTAATTTTTAATAAGCAAGGGTTCATCATTAAAGGGCATTTTCTATTAGGAAGTTCCTGTGGTACATAAGTCTCTGTTGTGGGGAACAAATTTGGAGCATTGTCAGGACACTGCACAAGTGATCATGGAATCGTTGTATGGAACCTATGCTAAAAACATTTCTATAGAAGAAATATGCACTTGACTGTTGATACCAGTGTAGAAATTTCTCTTGACCTTTCTACACATCTTTACCAAAATGCTTTTCTCACTCAGTTTTGAAAAGTTGAAATATTTCTAGAATCTCTGCTACTTGCATGATCATCATTACAACAGGAATCATTTTTGGCATGATTGGAAAGATGACTGTTACTGAAATTAGTTTGTAACACCTCAGTTTTAATTTATTAAGGAAGAACTTCGGCAGCTTACTTCACCCTTCTCTTTCCCAATTATTTTCTTTTAATAATTTCTTTAATTTGGGATGTTTGGGGAGGTGTAGACATACCCTTGCATCCTGTCTCTGTGAGTGAGAAGCCGAGGGTTTGCTTTACCTAATGTCTGGTGCTTTTGGGCTTTCTTCATTAGCTACTTTTGCTGAATCAAATTGGCATCCATTGGGATCCATAATAACCACATTAATCAATCTTTTACTGAATTCAGTAAACATTGTTGGGTTGAATTTGTTGATGCGTCAAATGCTGAAGCATGATTTTTTATTTTTTTTTATTTTTTTTTTTGGATCAGATTTTGAAAATAGTTGAAAGAAGGTGCCTCTAACAACACTGTGTTAGGTCAGTTATTTCATAGTTTTACATTGGGTTCTTTATGCAGTTTTTATATTTTAGAGCAGAGAACAGCAACTCTTAAAAGTAGCATGCATATTTCATGGTAAAGATGCTTTGGGAATAAGGAATGTAAACAGTTCACTGTCAAAAACATTCCAACCTTACTAAAGAAAAATATGCAAACACAAAATTCTCATGGATGCTTTGGCAAACAAGCGTCTGACTCTGCTGTCCTGCCTGTGGCCAGACTCTTCCTCACCCCTGTGACACCAGAGCTGGGCCGCCTGTGCCGGGAGCTTCCGGGAGTGGCAGTGGGGACAGAACTCAGCAGTGGCCAAACAAAACCTGAGGAGCTGAGCAGGGCTTTCCTTGCAGAATGAGAGAAAGAAAAACCTGTTGTTGCTGCCCACTGTAATATGCTATGATATATTTATACCATGTCGAAGTTGTTTGCTGAGCAACTGTACTATAGATTTAAACTTTATTAATATATATTTGCTTATGTTAGTGTAGTTTATATAGTCCTTGGTTATTGATAAATTTATTGTGTTGTTACAGCACAGTGATATGGTATAAATATAGGTCTATACATACACACCATATACTTATGAATTTGGTCCCTTGCATAGTACTTTTATATTTGTACAGCAATGTCTTCAAGCAATCCCAGATTTTAGGGGAAATATTTTTGTAAATGCAGTGGTTTAAACAAAAAAGTCCAAACAATCCTTTTACTAAGTTTTAAATACATTTGTGGTTCAAAATGGTTAGTTAACAATTGAAATCAAGACACTAAATTAGTGAAAAGTGCACATTAGTAAAGTGAAGCTTACAGTGGTTCTTGTAGCATGTGCTGTGATCAAACCAAGTAACACATCGGCGGAAATGTAAAAGTTGGACTACATGTGTAAATCTAGAACAAATTTCTAAAGGTTGCAGCTGGTTTACTTACTATTGTTGCCTTTTCTTGTGTTGTATCAGTGTAGAGCACTCTTAAAATACTCAAACTGCTTTGTCTTTGCTTTGTACTGTTGGTGCCTTCTTAGTCATGTACCCCACAAGTCCTGCATAGCTAATTTAGTTAATGGTAAGTTTAAAATAAAAAAGCAAAGGAAGATTTTATAAAAAATAAATAAATCATTTTCTGTATGTTCTTATTCATTGTAACAATTAAACATTTATATTGTGACAGATTTGTGATTTGGTTAATCTGTATAGATCAATTGTAAGTAGCAAAGGTTTATATTTCGTCTTATTCTTTTGATGTTGTAAACGTTTGTGATTTTCTTTTTTAAATCAGGTAACTTAATGTTCTGTTTTGTTTTTGACATCTGAATCTTGTAAAAACAAATGCAAAGAAAATCATTAAATTGTGTCCCTGTATTACCAAACCAGCATAGTTCCGTGCATGTCTAGAACAACTGGGACTTTGCTTTGCCCTGAGCTGGTCCGTTGGCTGATCCAAAACTGCCCCTCCTTGGAAGTGCACGGGGAGCAGCCTGCAGGCAAGAGCTGTAACTGCTCAAGGTGTGTGTGCCCCTGTGTAACTGTACCAGCTTGGAATTAAATTAGGGAAGTCATAAAAAAAAAACAAACAAACCCACAGATGAGCTTTCTTTATAGACAGGCAGAAATGTTTTATCTTCGGTGTGAGAAAATGACGAAATCTTGACCTGCTGAGTGATGCAAATCAATTTCAGTGTATCTGATGGTTCATGGGCTTTTTTGACACTCTTTAATGGATATTCGTATTGCACGGTTCCCATGAAATCTTGAAAATTACTTGCATGATCCTTAGAAACCAAACGTTTTCATTTCAATATAAAAAGGTTCTTCTCCAACCAGGGGTTGGAACTGTGGGATTTCTGGGAGCAGTGTAAGTTCACATCACTGTCATGGACTTTTAATTCTTCTTCAAAGAACTGAGCTCTTAAAAGGTGTAGCTGGATAATGGCAGCTAAAAACTTCTCTAATTAATATGAAAAGGCAAAAAATGTGACCTGAAACTAAAGAAAGCTTAAGCATAATTGAGAGGTCTGTAACAGCTCTGAGAACTGGCTTGTAAAAATTCATCTCGCATTCCCCTCCTTGGCTTTCACTGCAGGGTACAGATTTCTTCCCCCCGCAAGAATAATACAGAATTTAATTTTCACCATGTTTCTATGTGTTCTTACATTTTGTTGGCTGTGGCTGTTCCTCTGGCAGAAGGTATGTTCATTGTAGCATGTGCTTCAGGGTGGGACCTCAAGGTACAACTGTACAGCTGCTTGGCTCCAGGAAGGTTTTGACAAGCAACTGATTGACTCAAGGTTGCTGTGATCCTTGTTTCAGAGGGATTAGTTTGAAATATTCCCCAGAACTGGCTGTAAGTTCTCCATCTATAAGCTTCAGGTGTAGTGGGCACTCCTGAGCTGTTATGCACACAGGTCAGGGTGGAGGTTCCAGTGAGCACCCCCAGGTGCTGAGCAGATGCTGCACTCACATACTCAGGAAGGCTGGCACAGAGCTGCTTTTGAGTACAAGCCATGTTTTTTGAAAGAGATTAATGTAGGTCTGATGGTATCAAGCTGTGTAGAACTCTGACCCAGGACTTTGAAGACCAAAGATAATTTTGTGTTGCGCGTGTTTCATCTTCAGTTATCCTTTCTACTAAATAGCATATATGTAACACTGAAAAGCTTAAAAAAACCCAAAAAAACATTGCAGGTACGTAGGAAACTCACAAATGTTGTCACATTGACACATGCTGTGTCTGTTGGTGGTTACCTTGCTCCGATGTGTCTCTCCACACGAGTCCAGGTAGCTTCAGAAGGAGTTCTAGAGCCTCAAGTCTGCTTCCAAAGGCAACTTCGGTGTGTCTGCTGAATACCACCCTGGTGTCAGAGGTGTTCACATCCCCATCAGAAAGGCGGCCCCACTCAGGAGCTGTTTCTGTGAAGCCTCATCTTGGGACTTGGATGTGAGAACTGTTCTGTAACCCCTCTGTCTTTTCCCTGTAATTTGTAAATTACACGGGTGACTTTCCTTCACGTGTTTTCTAAAACTGCCTTTTTTTTTCAGTATGTCTTGCTACTGGCAATTTACTTCTCTCTGTTTAAACTGAAGTCTAAACAAGTTCCAGTTGTTACAAAAAAAATCTTTATGGGATTTGTCAGCTTTCTGATGGTAAACAGCAGATTATTGATCCTGTTAAACTGATGTACCTTGTGAATACTGGAACCTTCCTGCAACTTCTCTAAAGCTGCGTCTTGTTTTCATGCACAGAGCCCATTTTTCCTGAAGTTCCTTCTCTTTCCAGCTAATTAATTAGTGTGGTAGAGAAATGTGTGATCCTTCTAGCTTAGTACAGAGGCAGCTTGTTTGTACCTGAAGGCTGAAGAGAGGAGACTTGAAGTCTTCCTTTGCCAATTTCCCTGAAACAAGCAAGAAATACCTTGCCAGGGTCTTGGGTTTGCAGTGTTTTCTCACCTAAAAAGACAGTAATAAAAATACTTGATCTCTCTTGCCAGTCTGTGAGTTTGTGTGCACTCAGCTGTTGGCTGCTGCCTGCCCCCTGTCTCCTTGCCTTGCTGCTTGCACTGGCCTGACCTTTGATCTGAGTTCCTCTTCCAGCGACTGCTCTTCCTCAGGGGTTTACACTTTCCATGTTGGGATCTTTCTCTAAAGTCCCTTGTCTGCTCTGGCTTGATGACTTCATTCCTTTGCTTCTTACTTTTCCTTACCTTGCATGTTTGTAGATTCCTGCAGTCTCACAGCTCCGCTTTTATTTGCTTCTTTCATTTTTTGCCTGTAGAGCTGAGCCAAGAACACAGCTATGTTTCACAGAGCTGGGCCTGGGTACAGGCAGCTGACCCCGGAGCCCTGGGATAAAACCGAGATAGCGCAGAGCAGCTCCAGCCCTGGGATGGCACCAGCAGTGCAGGGATCCCTTATTCCACCTTGTGAGTTTAATTCTGACCTTGAACACATAGCTTAGAAATAATGGAAGGTGTTAATCTCTATCTGTGATGTGTGATCTATGTATGAAAATTCAGGCTTTTTAGCAAAAAAACTCCAACAAACCCAAAGCTGTAAGAGATTCTGCAGAATTTTTTAAAATTTGCTATTACTAAGAGACTTGAGATGCACCTTTTAGGGGGGTTGTTTGTTTATTTGTTTTTGTTGGTTTGTTGTTTGTGATATTTTGTAACATCCAAGACTAAATGGCTTGCTGTGAACATCTTTTTCTGCCTTAAAACTGCAAATGCAAAAATGCTGAATATTTAGAATTTTGGCTTGTGACTCACTGAACTGATGATACCACAAGAGAGCTGGAACATTTTTTAGTCAAGCCTTTCTCCTAAGTCATCTTTAATTTTGATACTAGTACTAAAAAGGAAATTTGGACTAAAAAATCCTTTTTTTTGTTCCTGGAAGTGTTAAAACTCACAGAAATTCTAATTTACAGTTGAGGCACCACAGACTGAAGAGTTCAAACTTTAGACTTCTTTAATGCATTCTGTGTTTTTTAAAAACTTTTTGTTAGTTTTTGTACACATACATACTTTTGCAGGCTTTCTGAGTAGGTTTGCACAGGTGTGGAGGGGAAACAAACTTGCAGGCCAGTTTTCCCACTCAGAAATATTTCAGTGGGTGTTGTGCAGTCACTGTAGCTCTGTGTTTTGATTCTGTTTGCCTTTGTGCAGTATAAGCGCAGCACTCCAGACAAAAGTGGGGATTGAAAACAAAACCGTTTCTTAATCATTCTGTTGTAGCTAAACTTAATATAAACTTGGATTTGAGGATATGCTTGGTATTTTGGAAGAACTGTGTTAAGCTGTTTTTACAGCTGACTTGGTGACATTTCTGTAAGTAAAATATGCTGTTGTTCCAGCATGGCAAAGGTCTGCATAATTCATGTGCTCAACTTAATCACTGGTTTTCTTCTTGTGACAATAAATGGCATTGTACCAAAAGCAATATATCCTGTGTGTAGTTAGTAGTGGAAATAATTATTACTGTGCAGCTTGTATTTTCATTGTCTTTGCAGCCACTAGCATGGATTGTGTGCACTGACAGTTGCTCCAGGCTATTAAAGACGTCTGGGGGGAAAACCAAGTCCTGAATAACACTTGTTTGCTTTCTGGAAGCTGCTGCTGTACTTTGAAGCAGAAAAGGGTTGCAGCTGGTGCTGCATTAAGCTTATTTTCTTCTGAGTCTTGTCATCAGAATACATCTAAGTCTAGTGTGTTTCTCCACATTTGCTCCTCCACATTGTTCCTCTTGAGAAAGGCCCAGGCTCAACACCAGCATCATTAGAGCCAAGGATGATAAGAGAGCAGAAGGGCTTTTTTCTCTGCTTGGTTTTGGGATTCTGCTAAACTGTACTCAGCTTTAGAGCACGGCACTGTAAAAGGACTTGTGGAATGCTGCAACTGGCTTTGCTCACCAACTACTTAAGACCATGTAAGACCTCACAGGCAATATGCAATGCTTGGGAACTCTCTAGTCATAAGTTGCGTTCCCTCCTGCCCCCCAGTAGCAATTCTGCACTACTGTCTCTGCAAATAAACCAGCCCTGGTAAGTCCCTTCAAAGGGAAGCTTTGGGTTTCATTTCTGGGTGTTCAAAAGGGCAAGTTATTAAGACAGTTTTCTTCCTATCACTTGCATTTGACTGCTAGTGTAGTACTCATTATACTAAACCATCACTGTACAAAAAATTTCATGCTGTAGAAATAAGAGGGCTGAAGAGCTTGTTCTTCTCAACATATATTCCTTCTCACTTTCTAAGTCTGTAGAGAAATAACCTACTTTCAGTTATAGCTAAATAGCCTTTCTGCATTCTCTGTGCGCATTTTTCTCTGCTGCCTCCTACTCTTCTTAGATGTGACTTATTTTACTGCTAATGGTGTTATAAAAACTGTAGTACTACAGGTGTCACATGGTAACTTGTAAATAAAATTACTGTAAACGCACAATCAAGTTATTTGTGGTGCTGCTCTGTACTTGTGGGACACGGCCTTAGCTGTCAATCCTCACTGCACTTCCCTGGAGGATCACTTGGAAATTATAAAGGCTACGCCTGTACCTTGTATGAGGAACCTTTTGCTGACCAGCCTCCACAGCAATCTGGTCCTTTTAACAAGTTCCAGGCAACTCTAGCATTTATTCCTAGGCAGGAACGTGGCTGCATTATTTACCAGCTGACAGCAAATCAACCCTTCTGTCAGACTGATCGTCAGTGGAGCAACAATAGTTTCATGTAAATACCTCTGACAATTTGAATAGCAAGTACAGAACACAGGATTATTTACAGTGGGAAGCTGATGAGGAAGCTGTTGCTGGGGCGTTGTGTCCTTGGAGCCTGTTACTGTGTTTCCTGTCCAAGTGAGAGAGGGGCGGAAAAGAGCGG